TTTAATAATTTAATAACTATCGTTCATAGCATGAGCAGATCAAATCTAATATATCAATGACTCTATCATGCACTTAAAAAAAAATCCTATAATCATATTATAGGCCACTAAATTGCTACATTATTTTAAGCAAATTATTTCTTTCCATCCGGCAACAGCGTACTTAGTTGTATACTTGAATTCCGTTTAATCTTTTAGCACAGGGCCACACTATGCTACAAGTCTCATTTGTTAAATAAAAGACTTCACCATGCATTTAAAACAAGTTTTATAAACACATTAAATCCATTTAAATTGCTGAAATTTAATTAAGCAATTATTTTGTCTTCCATCCGTTAATAGCATAGAAAATTCATTAACTATATACTGTTAATCCCGACCACTTAGAATTAAACTTTAATTAATTTAGGGTCCTAATAATATCCTAAAACAACCTCTTAGTCCCTCTGTGAAGACCCAGACCCATTAGTACAGTGTCCATGCTTAACAGTACTAAACAATACGTAAAAAGAAAATCAGAGAGTGTACTATTGAAGAGAGCCTGCTCTAAATTTTAAAGAGCAGGCTCTTTTGAGCCTGGAGCCAGCTCTAGAAGTCTTAGAGCCGGCTCTACATGTGTGGGAGCTGGCTCTCACCCCCTGTGAGAGCTTTCAGCCTCCGTTCACTCCATTTCAGCCAATCTGCTCTGTCCTCGGCCATTCGAACCCTACTGTTCTTCCTCTAATTTAAACTTACAGGTCTTAAGTTACATCTATTATCCATTCAAACCTTGGTTGGTTTCAGTAGGATTCAAAACAAAATTTAAAACAGTGAGACGTTTTAAGCCAAAACAAAGACTAACATAACATACATCATAGAAGGGTTTTGCAGATAAGTTTTTACAGTTAAAAGATGATCAAAAAGACATATACAAATCATGCATGGTTCAGTTAATAGCCAATTAATCTCCTATAGGCTGTCTAGGTGCACAGAACACAAGCCAGAGGGAAGGAGGAAGAAAAGAACTTGCCTGTGATTTTAGTTATGAAATCCCGGCGTCGTCTCCAAGTTTTTCGGCAATTCTGAACGCCGTCAAGCTTCCTACTACTTTGTCTCTAATCCTTAATCAACCTCCTTGGTCCTCTCTGTACAATTCCTCTTAAGCCTCGCTCTGTTTCCTCACAACTACTTTCTGTTTCTCTCTCTGTATCTTTGGTACGTGAATAGGGTTTTTCCAACCCTTGATACAGATTATAACCGTGTATTTATAGGCACAAAAATAACCTAAGTCTACTTAAAACCCTAGACTATAATTTAATCGGCCCATAGAAAACCTAAGTCATATTCTGTCGGTTATCAATACAGAACCCCTAAAACATACGTGAAAACCTACTTGCATAAACAAAACATTTAACTTATTTATTAATAAAAACAACTAATAAATCCACGTTAAATAATTAAAACATTCAATTAAAATAAACACAACAATTTAATTAAACAAAACAACTAAATAAAAATAATCAAGGAATTCATTTAACTCAAATAATTCAAATAATTCAAATAATTTCAAATAAACAAGCAACAAAACCATCTAAATAATTAAAAATACAAGTAAATACTTAATTAAAATAGCAGGACTATCCTCTTAAAATTAGGGGTATTACATAATATCCCCCCACAACTTTTGAGATAATCCTAAAATTTACATATATATATATATATATATATATATGGTTTTCCAACTCTTGAAATACCATATATTAAATATTTTACCTCATCTACCTTTCCAAAGTTCTATATTCGCTTCTCAACAAGCATGTATAACAGTCTCTAGTGCATATGTACTCACTTTATCTCTAGTTTGTTCTTATAATATGTTACAGACGTTACTGTGAATTAATGCTAGAGATATTAATTATAATGGGCTCAAATTAACATTTGTTTCTACATTTCTTGCATTTATGAATTGAGTTATTCATCTTTAGGTTTATGTTAAGTCAGTCATATTAACATGTCATAACATTTCATGTGTCACACATCACATAACTCAATCATTTAAGCAAATAATTATCTTATTATTTAAGCTTTGGATACAATCACTACAGAGTGAGCACTCACTTCTAAGTTATCTTTACTAGTTAAAAGTGAGTTCTTAGCTATCATTACTAGCTTAGATTAAGTACACTATTCTCATATCTCACTACTAGGTCATGATGAGCACCCACTTCTCAGCTATTACCGCTAACTTGAAGTTAAGTTTGTTTAACTATTAATTCTAGTAGTTCATAGCTTTAGTACACACTTATCTAAGTAGTCTACCTTGGTAGTAGAGTAATTTGTTTTGAAGAATATTCTTCAAAAACTACTACTTTACAAGTAGTATTATTCACTCCTACATGAGCAGATATGATGTATAGCTCAAATAGCTTATGGCTAAAATGGCTACTCATCACCCTCGTGTTTTTTACTACTAAGTTGAGAGCTAGAACCAACTAACAGATTTTCATCTTCCTCTTAAGTGCTATGCACCTCATTAATCATTTTAGCTTATAGTTAAGCTAACTAGTTTACAACTCAGTAATATTTTACCTTTTAGCTAAATTGTACATTAGAGTTAACTAGCTTGATTTAGCTTGTCTCGGTGTACTTGCTTAGTATATCCATAACATTTTCTATTAAACTCTTTAGAGTTATTGAAAAATCTTCTCTTATTCAGCCCATTCATAGCTATACGTATCTTAAACACTAGTATAGATCTTTTTCCCTTGACTATCGGGAGAATTGACATAGTTGGACTAGTCAATTTTTGTTTGTTGTATTACATACACAAACCAGTCATGAATTCATACAAATTCAATAATATCACATATTAAATAAACTATGTTGTAAAATTGAATTACAATGCACACTAAGTAATTCAACTACATAGTTCAATATTATAGTATCAAATAAAAGTAAACATTTATAAAAATAATATTGAACTTGCATAACAATATAATTTAATATTATATCAACTGATTAATTATAAAAAATAATTTAATAATAATATTCAGAAGAAGACTTTACTTCCTTAAAGCTTTGTGGCTCATACTTATTTTTATTGTATGATTTATGCACAATAAAATGATATGCACTGTTGTTATGAGCATAACCTATCAAAGATTTTCTATAACGATCCACTCCACTACATGGTATGATATTGTGCACTTTGGGCCCGAGCCCAAACGGTTTTGTTCTTAAGTTTTATCCCAGAAGGCCTCATACCAATTGGAGATAACACTACCACATAAAGCACTTCCCATTTCCCTTACCTAAGCGATGTGGGACTGTATACTTATAGCTTGCCCGGTGTGGTAGCCTATTGGTGCCTCTTGCACCCACCCACAAGGTTGCCACATTTTAGGTTTCACTTTAACTTTCTTAGGAATAGAAACTGCAACCTTAGTTAGACACCCCCACACTTTTAAGAATTTATAAGAAGGTTTTCGACCTTTCCATAATTCATATGGTGTCATATTAGTTTAAGGTATTTTATTGAGAACATAATTTGCGGAAAACAAAACTTCCCCCCACATGCAAATTCTGAGTTAAACCAGAATTTATCAATATAGCATTCATCATGTCTTCATGAATGATATCATGTTCTGAACAAATATTAGCACAAGTGTTTTGATCTTTTTGCTAAGTTGATTCTCAATCTCATTTTTGTAATGTTTAAAACATTTCAAAGGTTTCATATTTGCTTCCTAACAAATATACATAACAGTATCTTATGCAATTATTGATAAAACTAATGAAGTATCCTTTTTCGACCTCTTGTTGATACAAATTTAAGATAATATAATATACTACATCATATTACAAAATTAAAATAATTCAACAAATATTGAACTATATAAATATTCTACTTATATAACATGCTTCAATTTCATATAATATTGAACACATCAATATTTAGCATATCATCATATAATAATGTATATAATATTATTTTATTATATCTCAATTATTAGTATAATCTCTACTTATTTATATCTTAAATAGAAGCATATAATAAAATTAATGCAAAATAGAGTCTGTCTTAAGATTGTTGGTAAATATATGCTCCATGTGACATTTAATATATAACAAATCTTATATTAATATGTCATGAGATAATTAATAATATGTTAAGAAATCTTTAATCATTAATTAAATATGCAACTCTATATTTAATTAAATATGCAAAATAAAGCAATAAAATAATAATAATAAATAAATAACTTGGATCGAAACTAGTATTGGATACTATGTCCTTAAGACAGATTCGCCCCGCTTTGGTGCTAACGGACTCAGTGGCGTCTATCTCCCATGATATAACGGTCTACATCCACCAGTAGCAGCACTACAAATTCGTGGATACGGCGAACCTTCTCCGTGTAATACTCTCTCTGATTTAAAAATGTATCTATATTATATAAATGCTAAATTAGGTGCAATCCGAACCAAATGGTTCGGACCAATCTTAATATGGCTCGATAAAATTGAATTAGAGTCTAAGTGGTTCGGACCACTTGACCATGGCTTGAACCCATATGTGTTTGGTTCAAATCTAAAGAGCGGAAAAAGAGATCAAAGAATTGAACATTTGTAAATGGCATATGTGGTCAGTATTTATAGACAATATGGCGTCTCTTAATTTGGTGTGTCTCTTCACCCAACTAATATAACCATTCATCACAACTTTCCAGATTAGTTTATTCCAACAGTCACGTCTTGTGTTCTGGAATCTCTTGCCGTGAATAACCAGAAGTCAACGGTTGATGGATTACACACCACTTCGCAAAAGCTTTGGTCACGTTACAGAATGGTCGACTTTCCCATTAAAGATACGTTAACCCAATACCACTGTACAAACATTCTTTATTTAATATATTCACATTGCAATCACTGACATTCACGTTGTAGTCTAACGTTAGACAGATAACCAAAACAATATGCATGTGTAGGCAAGTTTCATTCACATATTCCAACAGTACTACCAAGACCGATGATGTGCTCCCAAAATCCGTTGAGGCAAGCATATCTCCGATAACACCAAGTTCAGTGCACTCACTCCATGCATCGAGTCCCGACAGAAAAGGGGACCCCCGATGGCTCCTCCCAACTATAAACAGGTCATAACCATTTTCAAATCCTGTAATAGATGAAGCTAGCCCTACTCCATCTCTCACAACTTCCTCTCGATATAAGAATCCTTTATTTCCTATGTTAGCATAGCAGACTTCATCGATCGAATCATTGTCCAGCTTCCGTTCTCTGGCGCTATCACTTCTGAATAGGAGGAGACGCATGACTGTTACAGTAACATTCTCGTGTTTTGCCATGCGAGCACTGTAGGACAGTGCCTCTCCGCCATCCGCTCCGCCTATGTAGATCACTAGCACGTTGTATATGGATTGACTGCTTATAATGGACAATGAGCCGCGTAGAACTCCCCGGTCTATGAAGATTCCGACCGAGCATGGTGCTCTGTTGAGGACATTGAGGTTCAAAGCTCGGATGGAACGGTTCACTGAATCGATGGTACCGTCGATAGCCCAATTCTTATGAAATGTAATGATCACAATGTTGGCATTTTCGTCGGGTGCAACCTGGCAAATGTCATCATGCATTCTGTTGTAACGTGAGATGCAACCGAATGATTGAACAGTTGCGCAGCCTTCATTGTAGAGCTCATAGTGTTGCAAGGCGTTGATGATGTGGTAGGATTTGGTATCACTCTTTTCTTGTGGTTGGTGTGCTATGAGGATGGGCGTAGCGCGGCCAACAAGCTCTACAAGGGGGACTGCTATGACTGCAACGGGGCTCTTTTCAGTTGCATTGGAGGCTTCTAGCAGGTTTATTATTGAAGTTACATTATCCTGGTTATGAATACACACCAATATCCGCAGCTCTGCTTCACGTTTGGCATGTTGTATGGTTCTTCTCTGGATTGGGATGTGTTGTTTAGATGGAGTCACTGCAATCACCGATAGAACAGCGAGAGTGAACTCTTGTTGAGTCAGAATCTGTCATCACAAAATCGATCAGATTATTTTAGGATTAAGAATGATAGAAACTGGACAAAAGAGAGAGCAAATACTGGCATTCCACACCTCACTACTCCACAAGTTGTACACAATGAGCTCACAGACGCCTCTTGCATTCAACATGAGTCCAAGAACAAGAGCTTCTCGAAAGTGGATTTTGTTGTAATGCGCTATCAGCATTACTGCTCCAATCTTAACTAAGCTAGCAAAGAGAACAATAAACCCTACAATCCACAGAGATTGAAGATTGATTCTGAAGATATTTGTTTTCAGCCCACTGTCTGTGAGGTAGGTTGGATAGAGAGAGCCTGAAACAAGTGTATCTAGTTTTGATGCTAAGGCTGCTCCTAAAGTTGGCCCATCCGGCACAACCAGTCCTAAAGCTAATGGTCCCAACACTAAATGTTGGCCGATGGTCTCGCTAAACAAGATGGCTACTAGAACACTCATTAAATTGAACACAACATACATCTCTCCTACAGGTTTCCCTGCTGGGATACGTTTTACAATGTTTAGTACTATTGGCCTGATTACATATACACGATGAAAACCACGAGTGCAGCCGATGATAAAATTGACAACACTGCAGTTAGTATATGGCCCTTTGTAGTTTGCAGGAATGAGAAACTAAGTATTGTCATGGAAATACCAAGGACATCGCAAAACATAGCCGAAGAGATGGCTAGGCGGCCTAGATCAGTGTTGAGGATCTTGAGTTCATCTAGTAGGCAAGCGATGTTCAGAAATGGTGCTAGACTCTGTGATGCTGCTAGTAGTGGAAGTACTTTTGCGAGGCTAGCATCCATGGAAATATACTTCTTTAAGATGAGGGATAGTGAAGCTGTGAGCACAAAGGTGGAGAACATAGTGGTGATGCCAATTGTTATGGCCTTGCGCCCTGGCCTTACCATCATCTTCGAATCTGTCTTTAGTCCTACTGTGATCGAAAAGGAAGAAAACAAGGCCAAATGTTGCAAAAGTGTGGAATATCGCGGCGCCTCTTGGAGGGAACATCCCACGTCCCATGAGATAGTCATGACTAAGAACTGAAGGGCCAAATATTATACCACCCTGGAAGGCAAGTTTAAATTTTTAGTTGTGTCGTGGAAATAGTTGAATGTTGACATTTCTTGAAATTAATTCAACAACCTGATGCAGATGATAATAAAATTAAAATGACAACGAGCACTCTACATCACAATCTGCGTTTCTTTTCTGTGTAAATACATTTATTCCCCGTAATTACATATTGTTCCTGCTGTTGAATTGCAAATTGGACTACTTAATTTTCCCATATAAGTTGGTACAAAGACCTGCCCCTGAACTGATCATCATCTTCTTGAGTTAAAGTCGTCAAAAAGCTAATAAAGGTACTACGATAAACACACACATTACTGTGTTTTAGCTAGGTTGAATAGTATCTTCTACATGGCAAGGTTGAGGCTTCAAGTTAACGAGAACAAAGTGGACGTATGGTATCTTACCTGTCAATATATGTGTGTATCTATATATATAATGTATATAAATTAAACATGCGGACCAAGTACAGGTCTGAATTAGCCATTTTTTAGGGTCTGCAAAAAATATTTCCTTTTCATCTTTGTGGATTGGATTTCGTTCTCCCTTTTATTAGTGCATGGATTTCGTTCTCCCTTGTTTATTAGTGCTATTGTTGCTCTGTTCCGTATGAAGTGAGTCCAACAATAGTATATAATGTAAAAACGCATATAATTTTTTTTTTAAGGAGACGAGGGGTAAAAAAAACTTACCTGAAATGTGCACAAAGGTCGGACACATGTTGGATGTATATTGAATGGTGAAAATTTTATGTTTAATGTAGTTGGAATTGGAACATGATAATGATACATTTTGGACACTTTAAATAATATGATAGAATGATTTTGTAATGATTATTAATTTTTAGAAAAATAGAATTCAATGTGATCTAAAAAAATATTATGGGTTAATTAAAAACAATTATATAAAATTTAAGAAAACAAAAATAAAACAACTAGCTCAAAAATCTAAATTATTGATTTATTTATAATTAAATGGATAAAATAGCAAATATATATATATAATAATAAATATTGTATTATTACTTTTTAATGTAATATTTATGTCCTATTATATTTTGAGATTTATTGTACGATCATATCCGTATCGTACTCGTATTTTATATCTAAATTTATATATGTGTTTTTTAGGTTCTAATCTAACAAATGTTAGTCTGTTATGGATTGGCTTTTCAAACGCTACTTTTGGCTTTCTGGGCTTAGAAGTTATTATGAAGGGCATTTTGGATAGTTTTATAGAAGAGTTCTTAGCTCTTAGAAGAGCGTTTTGGAGAAGCTGGACCCCAGCTTTGGCAAAACGCTCTTCTAGATACACATGGGAAGCTGTTTATGGGTTTAATGAATATTTCAATATGACAAGCGTACCCTTTTCTTTTAGGTATTGAAAAAAAAAAATTACAATATCTGCCATTATAAAGGACATCGTATTATTCCTAAACCCTAAGGACAAATCAAACGACAACTTCAGAAAGATCGTCACTTCCCTTCGAACTTCAGGAAGATCGTCACTTCCCTTCGAAGATCGTCGCTTAAGGATCTCTCTCGTTTCAGGCAAGGATACGACATGTTGTATATGAATGATTGATTATATTTTGTATATGAATATTGGATTGAATGTATGGTATGAAGTTTGGAGTAACCAAAATTTTGAACTAATTAATCGTACTGTTTTTCTTAACCAATTTTTTATTTATATATTGGAGAAAACTTTAATAATAATTAAAGTATCGAGAACAATTGTAATATTTTACTTTGCTGTATATGAATGATTGATTCTATTTTGTAAATGAATATTGGATTGAATATATGATGTGAAGTTTGGAATGACCAAAATTTTGAACTAATTAATCATATTGTTTTTCTTAACCCATTTTTTTATTTATGCCCTAATCTATCACGCGAATGTTACATCATTCACGTATGAACATTGTTGTATGGATACGTATACATACATTATGCATGAACACTTAAACAACCATTTTTGTATGAAAAACCATTTTTTTTTTATGAATAACCATTTTTTTTTTATAACTATGCTTTTTATACCATGTTTGAGATATTGTTATGAGTATACTTTTTATATTGTACTTGAAATATTGGAGAAAACTTTAGTTATAATTAAAGTATCTAGCCCAATGCTAATATGGGAGTAATCACCTCCCATTATTTATTAATTTCTATTTCATTTTCTAAATTTGAAGAGATGGTAATAGAAATGGAACACACTTGAACAAAGAGGGTTGGAAGAATTTTATTGAGAATTTTAATAAGGCCACCAACAAAAACTATAAAAAGAAATAACTAAAAAATCATTGGGATAATGTAAGAAAAGATTGACAGCTCTGGGAGGCATTATTAGGAGGAGAGACTAGAATTGGGTGGGATACTGAAAGACAGAATATAGATGCTTCAAGTGATTGCTGGAAGACAAAGTTATAAGTATGTATATGTGTATGTATTTTTCATTTTTTAACAATAAATTTAATAGTAATTTTTATTTTCTAACTTCTAAATTAAAAAGTGCAGTAGTTTTCGGATGCGGCCAAATTCCGTGTGAGGGGTATAGAGCTCTCACTTAGCATTGATAATAATGTTGATGAGGGAGAACATCCTGAAGAAAGTGAACATGAGGAGACAAACTTTTTGTGCGTGGAAGGCAAAATGGAAAATCTTACAAAATATGCCTAATTTTGAGTTTGATAAGCAAGTTGTCATTGTTAGTGCTTCGATGGCTATCCATAATTTTATAAAGAGGGAGGTTATTGCTGACATAGAATTTCAAATATATGGAAAAGATGATTATGTACTCGATGATAAAATTGGCAAATTCGATATTTCGTTCACAAGTGATGATACTATTGAGATGGGTGTTATCTGGGATAGAATTGCTACAGAGCTAATGCTTAGATGAATATTTGGTATTGTTAAATTAATGATGAGATGGCTCTTATCCGGGATAGAATTATTACGAAACTCATGATTGGATAAATATTTTGTTAGTTGATGCTATGACATTTTGCATTATTTGATTATATTAAATGGGTTGTTATTTTGTTAGTTGATACTTAATACAATGTAGTATTTTATATACGACATGAATTAATGAATTATTTGATTATATTGAATGAGTTGTTTGTATATGTCATGTTAGATTATTTGATTATACTGAAAGGGTTGTTTGTATGTGTTTATGAATGAGTTAGATAAAAAATAATAATAATAATTAAAAAAAAAAACATGTTAACTACTTTATGTTACCAAACACTCCAAAAAAACACTCAATTCATGGGCAAAATAGTTATTTTAGCATTAGAAGAGCTTCAACAAATGATTTGCCAAACATACATTGAAAACTCTTCTGGCCTTAAAAGCTCTTCTAAAATACAGTTCCAAACAATGACAGATAAGCTAAATAGAAGTGATAACTTATGATTCTCTTTTTCTTCTACTTACTACTCTCCTGAAGACTCAACAACAATAACGTTGCCTATCATAGGCACTGACAACGAGGATGACCGGATCAAATAAAGTCTCGGAAAGCAAACTGGGAGCTTATTAGAGGATGTTTATCGCCACCTATTTTCATGGCTTTAGATGATGTTGGAGATCGTTCATTCGAGCTACCACAACTCGCTAATGGTCCCAGAGCATTGACGATACAATCAACATTGTGTATGCTTCAAGTTGAAAAGGGCTTTGTTACTAAAGTTATTCTCAGAAGATACAATAAAAAAAGGTACAACCCATCTCTACCTTTCTTCTTGATATCATTATACACAAATGGTCATACTATGGAAAATTTTGGTTTAATTATTTCTATGGTAACTTGGTAAATTTTCAATACAATTCCATCTGGTCTTCGAAGTGTATGCTTTTTAATTGTGAAATAATTGGGAATGGGATTCTAACAAGTGCTTTTCCCGCTCTGTTATTTTTCCCTTACCATTTCTGTATATTGTTTTGGATTGGATTGGTTGTGTAAATTTCTAATATATATAATGAGCCATTAAGCTAACGAGGTCAAATTTCTAGATTTGAGACTTATTAATATTTAATGTATGAGTGAGATTAAATTGGTCAAACTTTATCAAAAATAACTTTAATCATATTAAAAAATTTTAGTTGGTGAATATCTTGTTCTATCAATTTGCTATTCCTATCTATAAATGAACACACCCTCATACTCGAGGCTTTTAGTAACCGACATAGAAGTTACAACTACATCCAGCTAGATTACTTCATTAGGACTCTTTCAAGCCACCAAAATTGATTGGGCGACTTTCTACAATTATCTTGAATTACATAGTAATCTTAACAATTAATTCTATTTCAGTTGACATATTAAAGTGATTACTCTTGTACAACTGTTTATTTATTATTATTTTGCTAACCTGC